TTGTTTAAATAATTGAATCTTTATGATTGATATCTTTATGTTTTATAATAATATTCTTATATAAGTTGTTGAATTTTAAAAATGTTTGAATTTAAATGTTTTGAAGAATTTTAATTTCTATGGGAAAATCATAATTAAATGTTTATTTAAAAATTTAGTTATTGATGTTTGCGAATAATTTTACAATTTAAGAAATTCGTAAGTAAATGTAATAGAATATTTTTTTTATCTAATAATTTTTTAAGTAAATTAATTTTTTGTGGCAACCCTGTATTATTAAATAATTCATTAATAAAAATTGCTATTCTTTTTTCAAATTTTAATATTCTTAACGTATTTACAAATTTTATTTTGCAAAAGTTATCAATAAATTAGCAAATGTTATGTACGGAATGATTTACTATTATTATGCAAATAACAAAATAAAAATGTTCATAATTTTCAATTACTTTCAAAATCTTCGATTGAAATTATTAAAGAAACTCCATTATTTGAAAAAAATTCAAATGAATTTAATTAGGATTTTCAAAGATTTTAATAAAATTATTCTTCTCAGAAATTCAATTAGTTTCATAATTAATTAATAACATTTCACAAAAGAATTAAATTATTATAAGAAATTTTGATAAAACTCTTTATAAAAATTTTAATATTTTAAATATTATTCTAATTAAATTTTGCGTAAGAATAAACTTTTTTAAAAGATTTTATTTTAAGTTTTCGCAAAAAATTTAATTATTTTGAAAATTTTGGATTTATTTTTTTGTAAAAATTAAATTATTGCAGGTTAAAAATTATAAAATTAAGTAAGAAATAACGCATCAGGAATATTTTTAATTGACAAAAATTTTGTTTAATTGCTTTTCGAATATTGAAAGCATTTTATTATACATTAGAATTTTCATTAATTTTAAATATTAAAATATTAAAAAGAATAATTAATTATAAAAAAACTTGAGAACAAAATGCTAACAGAAACAACTAACTTCAAATTGCGAATAGATGTGAAGTCAAATTAAGTAAGGAAAAAAATAAAGTTTAATTTAATGCTTATCTATTAACTTTCTAATTTAATATTTTCATTTTTAGTAATTTATTTATTCTTATTTTTTGAAGATTTAATTAATAAATAATATTAGAAATTAAATTATTTATTGTAATGAGAAAATTCAAATATCTTTGTGAATCCTTTTTTAAATTATCCCGCCATTAGTGACGCCAACCAATGAGATCACTTGAAGCTTAAAAGGACCCGAAATATTCTTCCCTACACATGGTTGATTAGGTTACCCAGATAACAAAATGCGCGTTGTGTGCTACTAATATCATCTGCACGCGTGCCGATTTATCCGCACTATGCGCGTTCACTGGACCACTCAGATGCGTCATCATATGCGATCCATAACTGTCGCATATTGTGATGGGCACATGCGTGACGGTATAATGCGAATAAATTATATTTATACTTCAGCCTTATTTGAATTAAATAAAAAGAAAAGATTATTGACATTAGTAATTTTTTTTAAATTAAAATGTTATTTATAAAAACGATTTTAATTTAATATTTCAGTACAATTTTGGAATTGAAATTGTTAAAAACTTCCAAATTCTTTTTTTGAGGTTATATCTAATACAACAAAAATATATATGTACTTTAAACAAATTAAATTTAACTTTCTTATTTTGCTGCAGTACTAAAAATTAAATCCACAATAATTCCTCACAATAATATCGCAATAAAAAACAATAAAAAATGAAATCACAATAAAAACTTATTTTGATAACACACCACAAACAATGCTGTCGCCATTATAAAATGTGTGATTGCCGATACGGGTGGTTGCGCATCATTAATTGCGTGCGTATTAAGTGCAGTTCACTGCACACGCATTCACAGCATTCGCACTGTGGATGGTAAAATGCGTATGGATTGACTCTTCTAGCAAGTCGCACTTGTGAACGGAACATGCTTATCATTTTGTATCACAGGCGCTCACGAAATGCAGTTCACAACACTCGCATTATTATGGTACGGTCACAGCTCGGCTGCCTGCCTGCCTGCCTGCAGGTCGTCATGGCAATACATAGGAGTAAGAGAGTCAGACAATTTAAATTATTCGTCTCCTCTCTCTTACTCTCGTGGCGGCTGCCTGCGCAGGCAGGCAGGCAGCCGAGGTGTGACCGTGCCATTACCAGCGTCACAGACGATAGTAAGATGCGTATATGAACCGACTCATCTGGTAAGTCGCAGTTAGTGCAAGAAACATGCGTTTAAATGCGACGCACGATTGTTATCTGTGTAGTTGGTTAGGTTGTTTCTTTCTGCGTTGTGAACAATGGTTCTACCCCCAGTCCCTCCAAATTTATTTTCAAAGTTATTCTTTAATAATATAATATTGATATTGAGGAATAAATAAGTAATCAGTTCGCGGCAATAAATAAATTATAGAGAGAAATATTTTTTATTTTATATTTTTATTAAATTTATAAATACTATTTTTTTAGCTATAAGTAAACTGAAATATTAAATAAGTTTAAGTGCAAATTAAATAGATAATTATGGAAATTCCGTAAATGATTATTTGTATAATATCAATTTATATTATATTACTTACCTTATGACGCTTACTAGAAACTAACTTCTAATGCTTACAGATACTTACCAGAGATAGTTTTAAAGAACTTTTCTCTACTTGTTTTCAGAAAAGTTTCTTAGATAACTTTCTGCAAGCTAACACGGAAAACTAAAAAGCGTAGGACATTTATAGGCCAAGGGAAGCTAACGGGAAACTAACCATGTTAGCTATAGAAGCTAACATGGTTAGTTTCCCGTTAGCTTCCCGCAAAATATGGTGCTATGTGGGTAGGTTCTATCGATAATTGATTTAATGAACAGATTTTGATAAAACTTGATGTGCAGCTAGATAAAATTAATATAAAGACATAGTTAAATTTTTGAGACCTGTAGGTACCTATCAAAAAAGTTATAAACATTTTTGATTTTCAACATTTAACATTGAATCTTATGGGAATTCAGTAGTTTGTCATATATATTTACATACTGCAAAGTATTAAATGAACAGATATTATGATCTAAATTTTTTAAATACTAAACCGATATGCAATAATTACATATCTGTTAAGACAATTGTCAATAGGTTTCTGTGAGATTTACAATAAATCAATTTGTCAACAAAATTTACGTTTTATCTGATAATATAAACTACAATTATAACGTTTGGCAACGTTGCATGCACTATACACATTAAATTTGAGCGCGAAATTTTTACTAAGTGAATCAAATCATTAAATATTTCTCACTGTTTTGGCAAGCTGCGTCAAGTAATAGAACTTCCTTAAGGGAACCGTACACCACTTTTGCGTGTTTTTTCAACATTTATTTTTTTATAGTAAAATGTATCGAAACACTGGGCTCTTTTCACACATATTGACACACATATTGAGGATTAAGAAAAAAATATTTTTTTATTCATTCTGCCCTTCATGGCGACAAAATGGCGGCTGAAGTGATTGTCCGGAAAAAACTGGTTGACACGATATCTCTGCTTCAAAATGTCTAAAACAAAAAATCCAAAGAATTTCTTAAAATATATGTTAGTGGCTATGGCATGAACCACGATAAATGAATTTGAAAAAAAATTAGTAAATGGCGGCGGTGTGAATTTTTTTCACCTTTTTTCACCCCTAGAACGGTAAAACATGAGGTTAAAAATGGATCCCAGTAAAAAAAAAAGTATTCAGAATAGAGAAAAAGTATTGGTGAAGACGTTCGGTGAATGCGTTTTCGCGACAAAACCGTATTGGTGGGTTACGGTGAATACATTTTGCTTACCGTGAATACATTTTTTTTAAACTCTCGATTTAAAGATTCCTAAGCAAAGTTGAGAATATTTATAAAGAGCGTAAGTGACCTGAAGTATAAAAATGACTATTGCGAGAAGGAAATAAGAAATTTTGAGAAAAAACGAAAAATTAAATGTAACAAACAGATTGTCAAATGTTGATCAATTACCAAATGCTTTTCTGTGCCTACAACGTATGATGATTAAAAGGAACTTTGACGTTACCGGCGGAACTTACTGTTTCACATACATTTACTTGGATTTCTCAAGTTTCTGTCGGTATCGTCAATGTTCCTTTTCATCATCATACGTTGTAGGTTTGTCACATTTAATTTTTCGTTTTTTCTCAAAATTTCTTATTTCCTTTTCGCAATTGTCATTTTTATACTTCAGGTCACTTATGCTCTTTATAAATATTCTCAACTTTGCTTAGGAATCTTTAAATCGAGAGTTTAAAAAAAATGTATTCACGGTAAGAAAAATGTATTCACCGTAACCCACCAATACGGTTTTGTCGCGAAAACGCATTCACCGAACGTCTCCACCAATACTTTTTCTCTATTCTGAATACTTTTTTTTACTGGGATGTAAAATATTGGTTGTGGTTCATGCCATAGCCACTGACATATTATATTTTAAGAAATTCTTCGTATTTTTTGTTTTAGACATTTTGAAGCAGAGATATCGTGTCAACCAGTTTTTTCCGGACAATCACTTCAACCGCCATTTTGTCGCCATGAAGGGCAGAATAAATAAAAAAATATTTTTTTCTTAATCCTCAATATAATATGTGTGTTGATATGTGTGAAAAGAGCCCAGTGTTTTGATACATTTTAGTATAAAAAAATAAATGTTGAAAAAACACGCAAAAATGGTGTACGGTCCCCTTAATTCATAGACATTTAAGATTACTCCAGACTGATTTAAGGGCTGTCCATAAATTACGTAAGACATTTTTTTAAAAAATTTGATCCCCCGTCCCCCCTTGTAAGATATTTTACATACATTAGCACCATTTTTCCTATTGTTCGTAAGATCTTGCTGACCCCCCTCCCCCTAAATGTCTTACGTAATTTATGGACGGCCCCTTAGGATTCACAATTTCACTCGGATTGATGTTAGATTAATTATTGAGATATGGAAGAAGAAATAGAGTTGGCTGACTTTTCAAGTGATAATGAGTCCATTGATAATCTTTGTGAATCTGATGATGAAGATGTTGATTGTACTATTAGCAAAAAGATAACGGTATCAGCTCATAAAGATGTTGTTGATGATTCCTGTTCTGATACCTCTGATGAGGATGATGCTCCTGGTATTCAGGTTTCACGAAGTACTGAAATATGGCGAAAATCCTCTAAATCGAGAAGCGATGCTCCGTTTACCAATGATTTCGGTCCTAACGTTCCTAGTAATGTTAAATCACCTTTAGATATATTTCTCTGTTTATTTCCAGATGATCTGATAGACACAATTCTTCTCGAAACTAATGTTTACTTAGAACAAAATCGATATAAACAGCCATCTGCAACGAAGGAGGGATTGCTCATATTTTTGGGCATCAATATTCTAATGGGTGTAAAAAAATGTCCTTCCTATCGTGATTACTGGTCTGCTAATCCTCAGTTGAACGATTCGTACATCAGCTCCTTGATGACTGTCAATCATTTTGCTTTTTTTCTAGGTAGTTTACATCTGGCAGACAATAGTAAAGAGCCAAAAAAAGGGGAAACGAATTATGATAAACTATACAAAGTACGACCCTTGCTCGATAAACTAAGAAAAACTTTTAAAAATTGTTGGAAACCTAGCCAATATCAAAGTGTTGATGAGTCGATGATCAAATTTAAAGGTCGCAGTAGCATGAAGCAATATATGCCTGCAAAACCTGTAAAACGTGGATATAAGTGTTGGGTTCGTGCCGATGAAACCGGATATACTTGTGAATTTCAGGTATTTACTGGTAAAACCGAAAGCACCGAAAAGCAATTGGGAGCAAGAGTTGTAAGAGATCTTACCAGAGTGCTTGTAGATAATAATCACCACGTCTATTTTGATAATTTTTTTACAGGTGTAGAATTGATGATGTCACTAAAAAATGATAACATTTTTGCTTGTGGTACTGTGCGCCAGAACCGTGTAAGACTGCCAAAAAGCGACATACCTGATAAAAAAATGCATCACGGACAGAGTGATTTCCGGACATCCAACACTGGTATTCGTTGGATCAAATGGATGGACAAAAAAGCTGTCTACTTTTTATCAAATTATCATGATCCTAGTGAAGTAGAAACTGTACAACGGAAGCAAAAAGATGGCTCCTTGAAAACCATTAATTGTCCCATCATGGTTTCCGATTATAATAAACATATGGGTAATGTTGATAAAGCAGACCAACTCTTGTCAACATACAAAATTGATAGGAAATCTAAGGGTACGGTCCCATGTTGAGCAGAAAACACAATGCAAAGCAGAATTTCGTGAGAGTGGAAAGGATAGTGATATCTGACTATCTCTCTTGCACTCACGAAATTCTGCTTTGCATTCTGTTTTCTGCTCAGCATGGGACTGCACCCTTAGACGTTACTGTGGTCAATGCTTTCATTTTGTACACAGAGAAGGGTTTGAATCCAATTTTGTCTTCCAAGGAATTCAAATTACGTTTGGTAGACCAACTGGTTGGACATAAATTACAAACAACAAAGGGCAGAAAGCCACAAGCTGCTAAAGTTTCCAATTACAAACCGCAAGTGTCAATTGAAAAAGGCGATCAAAATCAGCTCACTTACCCGAGAATACTGCTGCTTCAAAGCGTTGTGCTCATTGCAGTACAAAAAATGATCAGCGACGAACATCATGGATTTGTAAAATATGCAATGTCCCACTCTGCTTAATACCCGCAAGAAATTGCTTCCTTCTTTATCGCAAGTGAAGATACTCTCAACAGATCAACCAAAGAATAAAAATTTGAAACTAAAAACAAAAAACAAACAAAAAAAATCAAATAAAAACATTAAAAAAAACAAAAACAAACAAACAAAAAACAAAAAAAAAACAAAAAAGGAGCTAGAAGTTTACCACGTCCACGTCGTTAGTTCCGGGCAATTCTAAAAGTAAACAATTTTCAAAAATACACAAAAACTTGTCATCGGACATTATGGATTTCTTGAATTTTATTACAGATTTGCAATATGTGATCCTAAAAACCTTTTAGAAACTTCATCCGTCATTTTTAATTTCATAAATCTGATGACGGATTCGTAATCAGCGACCCCAAAAACCCCTTAGAAACCCATTAACCCTTTGCGGCACACATTTTTCACTTAATCCGATTTTTTGAGTTGTTGACCCTTAAGGGGTTTTTTGGGTCGCTGATTACGAATCCATTATCAGATTTTAGAAATTCAAAATGGCGGACAAGAAAAAAAAATTTTTGTGGATTTTTATTTCAAAGGTTTCTAAGGGGTTTTTTTTGGGTCGCTGATTACGAATCCGTCATTAGATTTTAGAAATTCAAAATGGCGGATCCAATATGGCAGGGAAAAAATTTTTTTTTTCGGATTTTCATTTTAATGGTTTTTAAGGGTTTTTGGGGTCGTTGATTACGAATCCGTCATCAGATTTTAGAAATTTAAAATGGCGGATCCAATATGTCAGACAAAACAATTTTTTTTCTGACTTTTATTTTTCAAAGGTTTCTAAGGGCTTGTGGAGTCTTTGATTACTATTCCGTCATCAGATTTAATTAATTAGAACTAACGGATCTAATATGTCGGATAGAAATAAAATTTTTTTTCAGTTTTTTATGAAAAATAATTGAGGGTTCACGTGCAATAAGGGGATACGCATGGAAGTGAAAGTCCCCGCGTATAGCGATTCTGCGGCTGCGCGAGAGGACAACGAATAGCCTGCGCGTCCCCTTATTGCACGTGAACCCTCAATTGTAAGGGTTTTTGGGTTTCTGATTTAGATTTTGTGATTAGACTTTAGAAATTCCAAATGGTGGTTGTTGATGGTGGTGGTTTGTTTTTTAGGTTCTCATGATGATAATAATGGAAGTACAAAAATTTGCGTATATGAGGCAACTCTACTGAAAAAGAACGACTGTAAATACGAGCGTAAATATGACTGTGAATACGACCCTAAATACGGGCCTTAGAAAAGTAGTGTAATTGAAACAGCAAATACAGCCGTATTTATGCCCGTATTAAGGGTCGTATTTACGGTCATATATGAATACCTTTTTTTAAAATATATATATATATATACCCCCACACCACCGAAACTTTCCTAAAAATTTATTGAATATTTACTTGTAATATTCGGCATATTTAACTGAAATGTTTAGTGAAAATTGTTCTTCACATAACTTTAAATAAACATTGCAATTATATATATATATATATATATATATATATATATATATATATATATACACTCCCAAAGCACCGAAACTTTCCTAAAAATGTATTAAATATTTTCTTGCAATGTTCGGAATATGTAATTGCAATGTTTATTTAAAGTTGTGTGAAGAACAATTTTCACTAAACATTTCAGTTAAATATGCCGAATATTACAAGTAAATATTCAATAAATTTTTAGGAAAGTTTCGGTGCTGTGGGGGTATATATATATTTTTTTTTTAAAAATGGTATTCATATATGACCGTAAATACGACCCTAAATACGGGAATAAATACGGCTGTTTCAATTACAATACCTTCCTAAGGCCAGTATTTAGGGTTGTATTCACAGTTATATTTACGCTCGTATTTACAGTCGTTCTTTTTCAGTAGGGAACATTCAAAAATATTTTTCCGTAATACTCAATAGTCCTACAATATTCAAAAAACATTTGACAAACTGTTCAAAACTTTCTTGATACTGGTTATGTGCTATAGAAAAGTATCTGTTCGACGTATAGAAATCGAAATCAACATGTAAGGTAATGACACATTGAGTGGACCGCCACTTTGAGTGGACCACCTGAGCTTTTAAGTTATCTGACAGCGGAAACGTGAAATAAATAAAACGAATAGCAGTACCGCACATTGAAACCGTAAGAAATTATGTTCCGCGATAATCATATACAGTACACGGTTGTCTTCAAGCACTTTTAGGTTTACCTAAAATGAGTCAAAATTGTGCTAACGCAGTTTTATCTGGAATCAGCGCAAGATTCCAAATTTTCATTTCCGAAAATCGTAGCTGATTCTTTTTTCGAAAAAAACCAAAGAAACATATATATATATATGGGCAATTCCACGTGAGATTTTAGTCGACCTCTTAAAATCGGCCAAAAATATTTTTTTTCTATTCTGTATTGAAAAAAAGGGTGCACTTCCGAATAGCTCGAACCGCCAATCGACTTGAAACTTAGTTTCCCTACGTAATTTTGTGCCCTGATTACGAAAATCATAATGAAAATTGGCGACTAGCTCATCTTCATGGTGAAAACCATAAAAAACCATCAAAATAATGGTTTTTTACGTTTTTTTCATTATGGTAAGAAAATTTTAAAAAATGCTTCATACAAAAGTTGTAGATCTCATCAAAATACATTTTTTATGTTCTATACATTTTTCTCCAAAAACGCATTGTTTTCGAAAAAAATACAAAAAACTCTCAATCACAGGTAAATCCATGCAAAAATCATGGTTTTTGCTATCATTAGTTTCTTAGCACATTTTAAATATAGAAATAGGGTCGAATTGATTCTATGTACACTTTTAATATAGAAAGGGAGTCAAATTTATATGCAGTTGGTACCAGAAGGTACCGAACCCACCCCGAGCCCCCTACAACAGGAAAGGAAAAAGCATGAGATATGGCCTCAGGAAGCTGAAAAACTAGAGGCGGGCGCAGCCCGCCTCAGCTATGTTCGCTTTTCCGTGCATATAGAAAGGGAGTCAAATTTATATGCAGTTGGTACCAGAAGGTGCCGAACCCACCCCGAGCCCCCTACAACAGGAAAACAAAAAGCATGAAATATGGCTTTGGTACCTTCTGGTACCAACTGCATATAAATTTGACTTCCTTTCTATATGCAAGGAAAAGGGAACATAGCTGAGGCGGGCTGCGCCCGCCTCTAGTTTTTCAGCTTCCTGAGGCCATATCTCATGCTTTTTCCTTTCCTGTTGTAGGGGGCTCGGGGTGGGTTCGGTACCTTCTGGTACCAACTGCATATAAATTTGACTCCCTTTCTATATGCACGGAAAAGGGAACATAGCTGGGGCGGGCTGCGCCCGCCTCTGGTTTTTCAGCTTCCTGAGGCCATATCTCATGCTTTTTCCTTTCCTGTTGTAGGGGGCTCGGGGTGGGTTCGGTACCTTCTGGTACCAACTGCATATAAATTTGACTCCCTTTCTATATGCACGGAAAAGGGAACATAGCTGGGGCGGGCTGCGCCCGCCTCTGGTTTTTCAGCTTCCTGAAGCCATATCTCATGCTTTTTCCTTTCCTGTTGTAGGGGGCTCGGGGTGGGTTCGGTACCTTCTTGTACCAACTGCATATAAATTTGACCTCAGGTGCAGCAAGAAGTAGTTGTTGAAAGGAAGACTTTACGTTGTCGGGAGGCACAAACGCAAGGGCTAAAAGCATATGCGTAAAGGTTTTAATGATTTGGTCCTGTGGATTATTATATGCTCGTTGTAACCCCTCAGCTTGGACATGGCGATAAACTGACTGGCCCAAATGGAAAAAGCAGCAAGAGATCTCTGCATTAGGAAAGACTGCAATTGAAGAATTTATAATTCCTTTTTCGAAGTCAGTTATGATTTTGGCAAGAAGGCTAGAGACAGGAGGTGAAACTTCGGTAGTGTGGATGAGTCAAGAACCTTTCTTTAACCAGGCGTTTTTCGTTTCGAAAAGTCGCCGGCGCGGTGCTTCTGCACATCACTCACACATTCAAATTCTGGTATACCGTGTGTTTCACATGTGTATGATATGATTTTAATTTGAGGTTAACTTTAAAGTGCAATCGAGACACAATGTGTGTCATAACGGATATATATATATATATAGAAATAATGTGAGTGATTATTAAATTGAGTGTTATTCAAATAATTAAAAATTTCGAAAACGTGCTGTGTGAAAAGTTGAAACAAGAAGAAAGATAAACACAGCACTATGACTATTACTTTTTGTTAACTTTTAATACACTTCATGCTATAGTTTACACATTTTTTTGTTTTTAAAACTTTTTTTTTAATAACTAAAAGATGTTTGAAAATATAAACACTTATATTTCATATTGTATTTGTATAGAATATATTTTCCCGTGTTTACGTGTGTAGCTGCGCAGAAGTCCGTGTGGTCTATTGCGGCGAAAAATTTTTTTGAAAGTAAACGCCTGACCGTACATCAGCTGAGCGACTCAGCATTGCCATACCCCCACTACCGAAGTTTTACCTCCTGTCTCTAGTCTTCTTGGATTTTGGTTGGCCGACAGTTGTCAATATGGAATTCTTGGCCAGCCCTCTCAACTGCTGTCAGTACTGCAGTATACTGAGCGGTTTCCTTTGAGGATAGTAAAGTGAACACAAGTGGAAGAGCTACTTCCTCGTTGGGAGTGTCGTCGTCGATGTTCAGAACATTTTTCTTAATAAGCCCAAGAATTGTAAACACCTGTGTGAATATATTTGGTGATACCTGTAAATAAGTGTAACATGTAAATAAATGTAAATAAAAATTAAATAATAATAATAATAATGCAAAAAGTAAAAAGGTTTCTCCGACGAGTGAACTACGAAATCGCTCAGGAATTTCTTCCAAGTTTGATAAAGATGTTGGATTAGGAGGTAGGGCTTTTTGTCTTTGGCGTCTCATGGCTTTTTTTAAATTTTCAGGTAATTGTGAAAGAACTCCTTCCGTCACCTGAGGCAATTCTAATCGCA